TAACACCGAGTAATAGAGAAAATTGAGGTGAACTTTCTCGAGGCACTGAAATTTACTGTTTCTGTCATAAGGTCCATTGCTGTACAGCTCAGCGACAACATTTCAGATATCTGGTCGTCGATAGTACTTTTTAGAGGGGAAATTGTGATCATACAGGTTTTCGATGAGGATATTTCTTCTTTGGCCATAGCAAAGACAGAAAAGATCATGCTCTTGCCAAATCTTGTTGACAAAATTTCCATGACATCTCTCCTTTGAAGAAGACTGTAAATGGCCATTTCCTGTTTAGGCTTCAATACAATTGCCCTGTTTTCCCGTCAAATATTCAAGATCGACGACGCTCCGGTCAACGCTTCTTTGATATTTTGATTTTGTTTTGCGGAGATGATTTGTTCAGTCCCTCGAAACTCTCCCATGGGAGATTACCAAAATATTTGATTGACAGGCGAACATTCCGAACCAATCGGAACGTTCCGTACGCTGGCCTACGGACCGACTCAAAAAAGCCCCCCGTCCGTGCAGGCGGTTTTTCAAGTTGCTCCCGCCCCAATCTCCTCGCGGTTTCTCTGCCCTCGCCCGCCTTTATTACTTAGCGCGCCCAACCAAAACCGCCATGCTACGCAGGCTAGCTGGGTTACGGCTATTCAAGAGTGTGCTCTGAAACGTTCAATAGGCCTAAAATGTGTACGCACATCGAGGATTCTGTTTCTCTGGAATCGTTCTCCCTTATAGACTGTTGTGTCTAAGAATGTAGTTTCTATTTCTGATACTTCATTGATTAGCATTGGCTTTCTCAATAAAAAGTTCTATATTTCCTTGTGCATGAGTAAAACCACAAGATACCTTTTCAATGCTTTATTTCAATCAACAACCTAACTTGACAACTACATTTAATTTCGTTACATCCAGTTTGCTCTTAATGGGACACGTCAGCTTTCCAATACCGTTGGGCTTTCAATCACAAGTTAAGCCCGAGGACGTCTACTTGGCTTGTACTTCCGGCATATTTTGTACATTTTTTTGCAAATCTCTCTCTGCGTGAAAAAGAAAATAAACTGTGTGAATTTTTTAATACTTCCCCATGTACGATACTTCAAAAACTTTGTTGATTTCTTTTTCTTATCACATGCCAGGATTTGCAGTGATTGAAGTTGCATTTTTTTATCTTTTGACGCCAATCATCATTGAAAAGACTATGATTACTTTCTTGACAAAAGGGTAATCCCTACCGCGGCTGAAAAACACACAAAAGAGCTCGCCGGGAAATCATAAATACATGCATCTAATAGTCGCATGAAAACAATTACATGTAAGCTAACTACATCAAACTGCTTTGCGTTTGCCTTAAAACTACGTCTCAACATCCAAGCAGTCCAAGTATTCAAACTGAAGACAAGAAAGATCTTACCCTGGAGGATCCTGTGGGACGTTGACGGCGGCTTCGTGGCGGACGGGTGGCCCTCAAGCAACGCTTAAGAAGTTTTAAACACTTCTTAAGAGAAAATAATTAAAATAAGTGAGTTTTACAACAATAGCTCAATGGTACGTTACTGTTTATATTAAAACACCGTTTGCTAGGATCCTATCAATCAGTGATGGTACTCTTTATCATTCGATACCAATCATCAGAAATAAGCGACGGCTACGTTTTTAACAGAACGGTTATCGCGCTAAGATATTAACCAAATAAGATACGTAATTTCCTGGTTAAGGTGTTTCGATACAGTTTTTCAGAGGCCATACCGATATTTTTCAATCGCCTTAAAAGTGATTTTTTCCTTGTCCGATCGCTATAAAATTTTTACAGTAACTGGCTATGGATTGAGATTTGTGAAAATGTAGTTTTAAATAAATTCGATATTACTATGACAACAATAAACAAAAAAATTTGAAATTGATAAAAGCCGAATTTTGTGTGATCTAGACCTGCTACTGAAAATCCAACACTAGGAACTTAAAGTTTGGTGTTTAGCAAACAATTGTTTTATCTTCAAGTTCCCATCTGATTGTAAAACTCGATTGAAATCGAATTCTACCATGAAAGTCAGAGGATTTTTTACGGGTCACTGATCCGACCTCTTCCGACATGTTGAGCAGATGTTATAAAGCACTTTACGTTTCATTAATATTATAATAGCACAGTCAATCTTCCGGGAGTGATTTTGTTGTTCAAAATAGGAGATGCTAGTGGAGAGAGAAAATACTTAATTACAGCGATTAATTTAACGGAGCTTACGTTAACCATAAATAAAAGTAGTAAGAACGTACTTTTGAAATATTCTTTTAATTTGTTTTATATAGTGTTAAAGTATTGTTTGTTTAGATTTTTTCCGCTGGGGTGGGGGCTTTTTGACACTTTTGATCAACCTTTCGTTTCCCACCCTGGAAAATTTGATCAAAAAATTTCAAAATTTGTCAAATCCCCACCCCTTGCCCGCACAACCCGCCCCCGCCCCCCCCACGGGGTTTACATTGATAGGTGCATTAATCTCATGAATAAAATTCGTAGGAATGTCATTAAGATAAGGTCATGTGCTATTTTTAGTTGGTTTTTCGGGAGAAGTGATATCCGCTGCCTGCTAATCATGAAACCGAGCCGATCGGCAATCTTGAAAAGTACTCTGCGTTTTTCGAAACAATATAACTCCCTCCAAACCTTGCTCTGAGGTCGAGTGATTGATTCTTCGACATCTTAAAGCTTCGTAGGCATCGCGTTAAACGAAAGAAGTTATAACAAAAAGTTTGTCATAGTTTAATGAACCTTTATTAACAAAGGAGCCACATTAATTGAAGTCAATGCACTGTATTTTAATGCCGGAATAAATCATCAAACCAGGAAGTTTTCTTGACTTTTTCAGACCTGTACGACTCCTGTGTGCGCCCGTTGAGTCTTTGAAAGCCTTTAAAGTTTTGCTTTAGCAAGCATGTCTTTCACCGATTTTCCTTTCCTATAAGAGAACAAGGGAGGCTCCTTGAAAATATCTCTTAGTCACGGCTGGTTGTATATTAGATGCCATTTGTCCATAAGTATGTTTTTCAAGTTTGGAAATGACGGTTGAAATTGTGTGACAAAGGGTGGAATCTTTTTGTGCGTTCTCAATTTTGCTTTAGAGCTTCCTCTCTTTCATGTTTAACTTCTTAGAGGATATTATCTACCTTTTGGCCCGGGTAGCCCCCTAAAAATAAGGCGCGTGTTTTGAAATTTCTAACTAAAGGTTGTCCTCGATAATAGCTTTGGAAGAGTTTGTTGATCTTTCTTCTAAGAAACCTGAGAGATTCTCCGTTGACAAAACCTTTCAATTTCTGCTGGGTTACGGCTATTCAAGTGTGTGCTCTGAAACGTTCAATAGGCCTAAAATGTGTACGCACATCGAGGATTCTGTTTCTCTGGAATCGTTCTCCCTTATAGANTAACACCGAGTAATAGAGAAAATTGAGGTGAACTTTCTCGAGGCACTGAAATTTACTGTTTCTGTCATAAGGTCCATTGCTGTACAGCTCAGCGACAACATTTCAGATATCTGGTCGTCGATAGTACTTTTTAGAGGGGAAATTGTGATCATACAGGTTTTCGATGAGGATATTTCTTCTTTGGCCATAGCAAAGACAGAAAAGATCATGCTCTTGCCAAATCTTGTTGACAAAATTTCCATGACATCTCTCCTTTGAAGAAGACTGTAAATGGCCATTTCCTGTTTAGGCTTCAATACAATTGCCCTGTTTTCCCGTCAAATATTCAAGATCGACGACGCTCCGGTCAACGCTTCTTTGATATTTTGATTTTGTTTTGCGGAGATGATTTGTTCAGTCCCTCGAAACTCTCCCATGGGAGATTACCAAAATATTTGATTGACAGGCGAACATTCCGAACCAATCGGAACGTTCCGTACGCTGGCCTACGGACCGACTCAAAAAAGCCCCCCGTCCGTGCAGGCGGTTTTTCAAGTTGCTCCCGCCCCAATCTCCTCGCGGTTTCTCTGCCCTCGCCCGCCTTTATTACTTAGCGCGCCCAACCAAAACCGCCATGCTACGCAGGCTAGCTGGGTTACGGCTATTCAAGAGTGTGCTCTGAAACGTTCAATAGGCCTAAAATGTGTACGCACATCGAGGATTCTGTTTCTCTGGAATCGTTCTCCCTTATAGACTGTTGTGTCTAAGAATGTAGTTTCTATTTCTGATACTTCATTGATTAGCATTGGCTTTCTCAATAAAAAGTTCTATATTTCCTTGTGCATGAGTAAAACCACAAGATACCTTTTCAATGCTTTATTTCAATCAACAACCTAACTTGACAACTACATTTAATTTCGTTACATCCAGTTTGCTCTTAATGGGACACGTCAGCTTTCCAATACCGTTGGGCTTTCAATCACAAGTTAAGCCCGAGGACGTCTACTTGGCTTGTACTTCCGGCATATTTTGTACATTTTTTTGCAAATCTCTCTCTGCGTGAAAAAGAAAATAAACTGTGTGAATTTTTTAATACTTCCCCATGTACGATACTTCAAAAACTTTGTTGATTTCTTTTTCTTATCACATGCCAGGATTTGCAGTGATTGAAGTTGCATTTTTTTATCTTTTGACGCCAATCATCGTTGAAAAGACTATGATTACTTTCTTGACAAAAGGGTAATCCCTACCGCGGCTGAAAAACACACAAAAGAGCTCGCCGGGAAATCATAAATACATGCATCTAATAGTCGCATGAAAACAATTACATGTAAGCTAACTACATCAAACTGCTTTGCGTTTGCCTTAAAACTACGTCTCAACATCCAAGCAGTCCAAGTATTCAAACTGAAGACAAGAAAGATCTTACCCTGGAGGATCCTGTGGGACGTTGACGGCGGCTTCGTGGCGGACGGGTGGCCCTCAAGCAACGCTTAAGAAGTTTTAAACACTTCTTAAGAGAAAATAATTAAAATAAGTGAGTTTTACAACAATAGCTCAATGGTACGTTACTGTTTATATTAAAACACCGTTTGCTAGGATCCTATCAATCAGTGATGGTACTCTTTATCATTCGATACCAATCATCAGAAATAAGCGACGGCTACGTTTTTAACAGAACGGTTATCGCGCTAAGATATTAACCAAATAAGATACGTAATTTCCTGGTTAAGCGAGTGCGATTCTCTCGACGTACTCCCGAGGACTCCACACAGAGAACCTATTTTGTGAGGGCGTTAAAAGTAATCTTAAACAAATTAAGTTAATTCTCCCCATCCCAGTAGTCTGTTTAAAAATGGAGACAAGGGAGGAGATCTCACCCCTTTTTTTGATGGACGACCACTTGGTCTGGGAGGACGACCACTTGGTTTGGGACGACGACGGGGGTCATTCTCTTCATCAGCAAGCTCGGCAATGGTTTCATCATCCTGTTCATCTAACAACTCCGCGACTGCCTCATCCTCAAAAGGCTCCTCAGCCAAGGTGGCGACTACCGCTCCGAGAAACAGGAGAAAAAGTAGAGATTTCATTTCCAAAACAATGTTTACTGCTAAATATCTGCTAGCAATGTGACCAGCATAGCTTTTCGCGCCCTTTTTATTGACCCATGACGCTGATGAACGTGAGACATGTGACAAAAGCGTGGGAAAACACACATTTGCTGATTATTGCTTATTTTCCGTTAGGCGCGAAGTTAATAAATATCTGATTGACTCTTATATCAACAACGGGGATGTTTATCACCTTTTCCTTTGTGAGCTGATGGTCTGCCATCTCTTATCTTTTTCGCCAAACCCCTTTTGTTCAAACTTATGTTTATTTTGCACCAAGCGTGAAGCCAAATATTTTACCTTGCCTTTGGCACGTTACTAAAATATTTACTACAGGTGCAGTTCTGCATGTGCTCAAACACATGTGTACACTTTTTGCTTTGTACAAAAAAACAAAACAAACAAAAACAACAACAGCAGGTTCATCTGTAGCGACCTTTCTGGCAATACAGATGTTAAAAGTATAAGATTCATACTAAAAGGGTTCCCAAGTCTCCACTAAAATAGTGGGTAAGATAGAAGGGAGGGAGAATGTGTGCGTTTGGGAGTGTTTTGGGTATAAAAAGTGAAAAAAGGTTTGATGTTAAGATTAGCAGTAATAATGAGGGACTGGCTAACTCTGTGTCTACCTCAAAAAAGTGCGAAACTAGGGAAGAAATGTAAAAATAATTATATAAGTTAATAAAATGAAATAACAGTAAAAAAAAGAAAAACTTAAAATTAGTTGAAAAGCCAAAATTGGATTAGAGGTTAAAAAAAGGGGAAGAGAAAAATTAACTTAGATGTTAGGATAGGTATTAGCAATGAGGAAGCCCACGCGAAAAAGCGCGGAATATCACCAATTCCGCCCTGATTCAGGGTGCCTTTTGTACTTTGAACTGCGTATGTCTGCTACAGCAGTAAGTAACGACACGGACCCAAAAACTGCCCTGCCACTGCTTATTATAAGTAAGCTGTCAAAAAACTTATGACCAATGTGCCAACAGGAGGGCGTTAAGCTAAGGTTTGTACTACGAAGTACACCACCGCACGGATAGAAAAATAATGTTTCTGTTTCTCTGCGAGGGGAAAAAACGGATTTCGCCGTTTTGTTTTCTTGTTTCCTTCAGGTTTGGTATCTTCATTTTCGAAATGCCCGCGTGGTCATATGCAATTATTCCTCCAAAATGCGGAATATGGTGAAGTGTTATCTCGATTACGACATTTTACATTGGCGTACAACGACAGACAAGGGTAGATTGACGTTATAACCAATGAAAGAGAAAGGGTAAACATTGCAGTCGTGCAGCCATCGAGCTATGGATGCACGAGGGAAGTTGCCAAGTACGAAAAAATCATTATGTTGATTGTAAAAACCTTTTACTTCACCTAATACGGCTTTTCTAAACTTTTTCTAGGTATTAATACAAAAACCTTTGCAAACTACAGGGTGTCCCAATAGTTCGTTCCTCTAATTAGATGTGCTAAAGCTTTTGAAACAACTTTATTTTTACATGAAATTTCTAAAAGATGTTGATTGGTCTATCGGGTATGTATTCAGAAGTTCAGTAACCGGCATGACCCCTTTGCTTTTATATCACTCTCTGTAGCCGTTGCGGCATTGAGTCATGTAGCATGTAGAGCCCCAGTACACAGCAAATTCGAGGTTGTAAATTAACACCAAGGGTGATATACATTAACGGTGAATTAGTGTTATCATAACACTTGCTGAGTGTTTCTTAAAAGATACACCAACTGCAAGCCCCAGATGACATATACCTTAGTGGGGAAAGGAATCTCCTCCTAAAGGTTAATGGAGGACATACCAGCGCTTTGGTCACACTTCTGCTGATATATTTTGTTTGCAACATAGAATATCCAAAAGAATGTAGAAACACATATTTATTTCTCCAGAGAGAGGTTTTGAATGTTTACGACAGTGTTAAACTACCGACGAAAGTTTTACAACTCATGAATGAACTGACTCAGTTCTAAGCTCTTAAAGCAAACTAAAATTAAACTGCGCGACTTGTTGTGTAATCTGCCTCTCACATCAATGTAGCTAAGCCGAACGACGACAACGACGGTAGAAAAAATGTCTCTTAAAAAGTAAATCCACGTTGTTTCAAATTTCATCACTCCTGCTCAGAGTTCAAATCAGTTCTATAAAGGACTATTTGAATTTTTTAACAAGGTTGAGAAAATCGTTGTCTCATGCAGTGTGTTCTCGTCCACCCCAAAACTGGTGAAATTAGGTAGTTAAAATGTCGTAGTCGTGAACCAACGGCAAGAAAATAAGCAAAAATGCGTTATGCACGTGCGAAGATGTTGTTTTGTTAAACTAAATCTATTGTGTTTTTTTCGTAACATTTTCGTCGCCGTCATCGTCGTGAGTATTGAGCTCCCTATAAAAAAGTCTTAGAAAAGAAAGACCCACCGTGTACAGCCCTCTTAGTTAAACACTCCTTTTAATTCTGTTTTACTGAATTCTGAAGATGACAAAGTTTTTACTGTCAGGGTAATATAAGCTATTAAATGGGAGTAAATTTACAGGTTGTTGTCGTAGTTGTTACTTTGTCTACTTTTGGGACTTCTCCATGAGTTACAAATAGTGTTGGCTCAGCACTCAAACAGTGTGTTATAACACAACTAGAAGTGTTGATCTACACTAATACAGTGTAAAATTCCCAGTAGTGTAAATTTACGTGACTTTGGTGTGCACACAGCTGCAATGGGTTTTACACATATTCAGTGTCATCATTACCCTTTTTTAGTGTAACAAAAACACCAGAACAGTGTAAAAGAGACATATTTTTGGTGTATTTTAACACCAAAATTAGGTTACGTTAACCCAATTTTGGTGTTATTCAACACCAATATAGAGAAAATATACACCAAATCAGTGTTGCTGTAACACTTCAAAGGTGTTTTTAAACGCATTCAGGATCGTATGTAGGTCATATTTACACCATTTTGATGTAAATATACACGACGGTAATGTTAACTGAACACCTATTTGGTGTCCACACAGCTGCAAGAATTTACACTTTTTTAGTGTTACCATGACACCTCGATTTTGCTGTGATAGCCTGAGTATCCGGTCTTCCTAAGGGGCTAGGGTTCCATCTCTCCCCTTTTCCCCCAGGAAACGCCTGATACTCAGGTTAGAGCCCCAGATAATTCATTTTAAGTTTTTTTATCACCTGGTAGGCAGGAACCACTTCTACCCCCAAAGAAGCTATAAAGAATAATTTGGGCATTGATCCAAGAAAAGTTAATCATCCCGGCCCCTTTTTTATCCACAGTAAGGCTTCTGTATTTCTTTACAAATTCGAGACGAGTTGAACGTTGCTTAAGGACTGAGTAAAGAGTTTTTTTTGCCATCGGAGGGGTCTCAAAACTTTCCTTTTTATGAACCTGATCCAGACTTAGCTTGCTAACTGTTGTGACAGCTACCTTGTCGCGGGTTTCCTCTTTTGCACCTAGCTTCTTTAAAACTATTTCAGCGGTTTTAATCAGGACGTTTGTTCCTCTCTTTAGTTTCTTGTCTTTAAACCCTACCTCACCTACCTGGGGTCTCCCACCTACAATTAATCAGGCCCTTAATAACGTGACTCATTGCATGGCAACTTATGTTGCTTACATAAGGTAATTTCCATAGGAAGCCAGTTAGTAGAAATTCACTTTAATATCATTTTTTTTAATGACCGCAAACGAGATAATCTTAAACTCGTTCTTAAACTGTCCAATATTGCACACTTTTAGTTCTGATTCTTTTTGATGCTAAAAAAAGGCGCTAAATTTCTGCTAACTGTGGGCACCGTTGGGCTCTTATACATTGATAACACGTTAGGTCATAGAAAATGGATCATAAACTATAAAGTAATAAATTTTAGAAATTCGCGTTCGTTGACCCTAGTATAATGTTTGGAGCAATATTTCCACCACTGTACTTGCTGTATAAGGATGTTGGTTTGAATGGTGGAGACAAGTTGAAGTACGGCCACAAGTGCGTAAAAATAAATTGGAACAACTGGTTAACAATCGTCTGTAAATATAAGGAAAATACGGCCGAGTTTTCGAGAAACAGGATAAGCAAACAAACTTCAAAACTCTCAGCCCTGTGCTTTGCAGGGAATGGTAACTCGATGGGGTTTTTCAGGGTGAACACCTCCCAAGTTTGAGTATCAACTACGTCACCATAAACTAAGGTTTGGCAAAAGCGCCTACTTCGTACGCGACAAGGCAGTGAATTCCCGGTTGATGTGTATTAGGACCCAGACTCCCTCTCGGTAGGGCATTGGAACGCCTGACCATAGGANTCACTTTAATATCATTTTTTTTAATGACCGCAAACGAGATAATCTTAAACTCGTTCTTAAACTGTCCAATATTGCACACTTTTAGTTCTGATTCTTTTTGATGCTAAAAAAAGGCGCTAAATTTCTGCTAACTGTGGGCACCGTTGGGCTCTTATACATTGATAACACGTTAGGTCATAGAAAATGGATCATAAACTATAAAGTAATAAATTTTAGAAATTCGCGTTCGTTGACCCTAGTATAATGTTTGGAGCAATATTTCCACCACTGTACTTGCTGTATAAGGATGTTGGTTTGAATGGTGGAGACAAGTTGAAGTACGGCCACAAGTGCGTAAAAATAAATTGGAACAACTGGTTAACAATCGTCTGTAAATATAAGGAAAATACGGCCGAGTTTTCGAGAAACAGGATAAGCAAACAAACTTCAAAACTCTCAGCCCTGTGCTTTGCAGGGAATGGTAACTCGATGGGGTTTTTCAGGGTGAACACCTCCCAAGTTTGAGTATCAACTACGTCACCATAAACTAAGGTTTGGCAAAAGCGCCTACTTCGTACGCGACAAGGCAGTGAATTCCCGGTTGATGTGTATTAGGACCCAGACTCCCTCTCGGTAGGGCATTGGAACGCCTGACCATAGGATTAGGAACCACGAGTCGTGTAGGCGAAATAAAGCCAT